TTTTTTTGCATCCAAAAATCACCGCGCAAAAGAATGCACGACGAAGAATAAATTCGCGTGCCCCCTTCTCCCACACCCTGTGAAAAGAATTCCACCTCCAAAATCCTGCCAACCGCCACTCTTCATAATAACGGTCACACGTACAGTCTCCCAGAGGTTACACGCGGCACATTCCTTTTGAGACGCACAAGTGGGACAAATTTAGGACTTTCAAAAGAAGCAAGAATGGAGGGCACGCAATATTATAACCGGCTGGTCGAGCTGAACATGCTAGCTGAAAGTATCTTCTGCCAGAACAGGCAGCTGATTCTCATCGACAATAACCTCAACGGCGTCCGAACCACCAAGGGGGGATACCGGAGAAACGAGATTGACAATAAAATAGGAAAGCTCGGCACGTATAGTAATTTGTTCATCACGCTCAACAAGGCCCAGATAAACGAGCACCTGGACAGCGTAAGTTGGAGGGAGCGCCATCGTCGGGTAGCGGCGTGGCCACGTCGTTGCGTAGCAGCGTGGCGGCATCGACGCACCGTCACATCGCGAACGTACCCACCGCAGGTCGAGAAGGTCCTTACGGAACGGCGAGACAAGTTAAGGGAACGGAGAAAACTGCTCATTAGGGAGTTGGTGAAGTTGAACCCCAGCGTCACGGAAATGCCTCTGGAGGACGCCAAGTTCTTGCTCAGGTGAGAGTTCACAAGAAACGAAGTGGCGGAGGAAGGGGAAATGGGCGCACTTCCCCCTCCTGAGATGCCATCATTGCCGCAACATGGAGGGGTGATCTCCACGTTGAGGTGAGCAAAATGGTCAAGCGAGCAGGTCTACACACACCCCTCCGTTGTGGTAGGGGCCGAACGAAGGATGGTCATTTCCCCGAGTCGACTCCCCAACGTATTGCGCGTCCGTGTAAAAAAAAAGGTTTCCTGATGTAAAGTTTTTTTTTTTTTTTTTTTTTTTTTTTTAAGACAAAAATGTAAAAAATCGAAAAAGGGGCGGCCAAGTCAATGTCGACTTGGTTTTATGCCGTGTAATGAGAATGCAAAATTAAGTGACGTCCTCTTTTTTTTTTTTTTTTTGGAGGACGTCTGCAGAGAAGTGTGTTTTTTCTTCCCCCGCGCGGGACACTTCTTTCTTTTTTTTTTGTTTAACACTTGCCTTAATGGATATCACCCTGTTGTCACGTCTTGGCAAACGTCACCACTGCGACGCTTCTCCTCCTTAAAGGCGTGCCTGCTTTCGGTAACCCAATCACTCGCCCCACCCTCTTCGTAAAAAATCACCCGCTTGTCGGACAAATTCTTTCGTGCCCCACCAACCCTGGCACTCTGGTACTTCTGACTTATGCTTTCCGTTGGGTACGCTTCCATGTAGAAGTCCCTCATTCGGTTGTAGCTTTGTATGTACGTATCGTCGTGTTGAATGTTGTGCCTGCAAGGGTGGTTTGAGGGAGGTATATACTTATTTGTTCTTTTCCCCTTAAAGGAAGAGAGTGTATGTTAGGGGGTTACAAAAAGAAGGGGGGGGCGTACAGTTGGGGAAGAGACATACGTCCGTCCTCCCGAAGAGGGGTGACATAAAAAGAGAATGCACACAAATGACATGTGTGTGTGAAGTGCGATGAAGTTAATCACGCACGTGCAGGTGCTTCTTACCAGCCAGACACATGTACCTTCGGGTTGTAGCACCTGGATCGATAGTAATCGGAGTATTCTCCGGTAGACATTTTATGGTTTGACATTTTGGGGGGGGAGAGAAGTAGTATGGGGAGGCATAAATTAACGTGCATGTGGATGGTCACGTGGAGGAGTAAGTACTGTATACGTGTGTTATGTGCATAGGGGCTAACATTAAAAGGGAGAGATCTTTTTTATTGGTATTTTCTCTTTAAAGACATTCGTATTGGTGTGTGGAACCTCCTAAATGAAACCTTTTGGCGAAAGACACAAAATGTTTTTTTTTTTTTTTTTTTTTTTTTTTCTTTGGCATGCCCCTGTTTCATTAGCTAGCTAAGTCACCACCACAGCGAAGGGGTACAAAAGCGTGTAGCTTTGCTTTCCTTTTGTGGCAAAATTGTTACCCACCCCTGGTGAAATTGCGAGTGGGAAGTGAACAGTCCGCCTCGTGCGCAAGTAGACACTTGTTTGAGGAGTAACTTTGCAAGAACTGATCTGCTAACCGTTGCCTTAACTTGGTATGCATTTTTTTTTTTACCTGACCTGTTCATACATTTTTGCCATTTTTGTGTATTTTTTTTTTTTGCACACAGCGAGAAATGCGCCAGAACTAGCCAAACGGGCAAACCATGGCGCGAATTTATGCGCACATAAAGTTGCTTTTCCCGTTAAGACCGCCGGACGGGGGGTAAAGACCTACGCGGAGCAGGCAGCCCCCGGAGTTGTTCACGACCCATTTGACGAGGCATTAACGTTGGGTTACAGTGTAGTGGCGGTGTAGTGCTGGCGTAGTGACAACGGGGTAGCCACATTTTACTCTTTATGGGAGGACCAAACGGTTTGCTCCTCAACGGTGGAGGGCTTATGCTCAACCCATTTGGGGGCACTGACCGATTCTGTTTTTCCCCCTAATTGTGCACATTCCAGCGTGGATACACATATGTGCATATAGGGGCAGTGCAAAGACTGTGTTTCCTCTGCTAGAGAACTCCACTTCAAGTGGCCCCTCTTTCCTTCACTTCGTTCTGCCTGAACATGTTAATAAAAAATGAGTAACTAAACGAATATGTAAAAAAAAAAAAAAATCAGTGAGAGTAGGTAACTTCCTGTAGGGCTACATGAGAGGCACTTCATGTGGCCAAACATGTCACATTCGCAAATGGGCTGTTAAAAAAAGCATGTAAATATGTGCACACATGCGTGCCCATGAGTGAGTAATTCCACCCCCGCAGCACCATCACCACATCCAACATGCATGCTGATATGCCCTCCTCAGGTGGGGAAAAAAAAAAAAAAAAAAAAAATGCCTAATTGTGTTGCCCATTTGCGAAACGCAGCTACGAGGACCCTCACAACATACGTAGTGTAGCAGCCCTTTAGAAGAAGAAAACGGAAAAAACAAAACAGCGGCACGAACGGCCAAGTGAAAATAAAAATCCAGTGAGGAGGGAAAGGCGACCCTTTTTACGGTGAAAAGGATATATATAGCCACATCCACAACCAGCACCCCACAAAACGGAAGTGCAGTCAACAATCGCGATTACCAATCCCCAATTAAAAATCGCTTTAAAGGTATTGGTCCCCGCAGTTGTTTTCTGACACTCTGTGTAATCTCAATCGCTACACCTGCAGGCACCTCGAAGGGATCGAACAGGAGAGAAAAAATTGCGCAGTGACGCTGAACTCGTTTTTTTTAAGAGAGATAGAGATAGAGCCTACCTCTTCTCAACAACACCCCTATCTGCTGCATCCAGCATGAGGAAGCTGAGTGTGATAAACGAGACCGTGAATAGAGTGTTGCATTTAGGGAAGGCGAACAGAAGAAATATATCCTCGTTGGTAATAAGCTATTTACCATCTTCCTTAACAAACAAGCGCAGCGTGTGTTATGTGGGGAGCAGAAGGAACCTCGGAGAAAGTCCTTTCCCCTATGATGGAGGGAACAAAAGGGATTTTTCAAACAAATCAAGTGTCATGCTAATGTTGGCCCTGTTTTGCGCACCAAGTTTGTTATACACGAAAAGGAATTATATGAACGGAAATAATATGACCAGTTGCGAAGGATTGGAAAAGGTACACTTGGCAAAAAAAGACGAAATGAAAAATGGAGAAATGAAAGAAATAAAAATTCGTGGAGACAAGGATACCGTTTTATTAGTACACGTGAATGACAAATATTATTGTTTGGGTCCAAAGTGTCCACACTATAGTGCGCCATTGAAGACAGGAGTGTTGACAAAGGATTATGTGACTTGCCCATGGCACGATGCAAAGTTCGATTTGAAAACAGGAGAGTGTATCAACGGTCCTTCCTTTGATGATATCCCCAGGTATGAGGTAGCTGTGGAGGGAAATGATATTTATGCTTACCTACCAGAAAAAATGGAATTATTTCAGAAAAAAAAAATATGTCCATGTTCAGGTAAATGTGAAAATAAAACGATGTTGATCATTGGGGGAGGAGCAGCAACTTTGGGAGCTGTGGAAACTTTTTTAAAAATGGGTTATACAGGAAAGTTAGTTATATGTAGTAAGGACTCTTACAAGCCATATGACCGCCCTACATTGTCTAAAAGCATTTCCAAGTATGACTCTGCGGAGGAGCTGTATGCGGCGATTAAATTGAAAGAGGATGAGTATTACCAGAGGGGAAATATTAGCTACCTGAACGATGTGTCTGTGGAGAAGGTCGATGTGGAGGGAAGGAAGGCGCACTTGAGTAATGGGGAGGTGATTCAGTACGACAAGCTGTTGGTGACTACAGGAGTTCGTCCCTGTCCTTCTCCCCTGGGTGGAAACGTGGAGGTAGACAACCTGATGACGCTACAGAGTTTAAAGGACCACATGAAAATAGCTTCGTATGCAAAGGAGGGAAGCAAGTGTGCCATCATCGGTTCGTCTTTCATAGGTTGTGAACTGTCCTCTGCTCTGAAAAAAAAAAACGTAAGCATAACCATGGTTTCTAAGGATACCGTCCCGTTTTATAACACCTTTGGGGATAAAATCGGATCAGTGGTGTTAGACATTTTACAGGATCAACAGATTACTTTTCATGGGGGGGTTCACCCAACAGAATATATAATTGACACAGGGGGTGGAGGTTTTTTTAAGAGAACGAAGTGTATTCATGGGATCAGGTTGAGTAATGGAGATGTGATTAAATGTGATTATGTGGTGGAGGCTTTGGGTTGTTTGCCCAACGCGGAGTTCCTCCACGACAAATTTAAAAATGAAAAGAAGCAAGTGGTTGTAGATAAGCACTTTCAAGTGAAGGGTGCGTCAGACATTTTTGCGGCGGGGGATGTGTGCGCCTTTCCTTACTTTGTCACTGGGGAGATGATCAATGTATGTCACTGGAACGTGGCTATTCAACAGGGACGCATCGCTGCACATAACATGTTGAGTGGTGATAAGAAGGAGTTTAATTTTATTCCTTTTTTTAATACAAATATATTTGGTAAAAATTTTCGTTACTCTGGTTATGTGAGGGAACCTCAGAAGGTTATATATGAGGGAGATTTGCGGAAGCAGAACTTTGTGGCTTATTTTGTTAAGAAGGACAAAGTGGCTTCCATTTTGACCCTGGGAAATGCAAAAATGGCTGCCTTGAATGAGTGCCTCTCGAAGGACAAGGTACCCAAGGTGTATGAGTTGGAGGGGGGTCTGCAGAACAGCGACAGCATGATCGCCGCCATGCGGGGAAGCGCTTGACGGGGTGGCTGGCAGCAGTCGCCCGTTGCGTGTGCGCGTCGCCCCTGCGCGTCGGTGTGGTGCCTCTTATGAACACCTGCCTTTGCTGCTTGCCTTAACGTGGAAATATTCTCTGCTCCCCCCCCCCCCCCACACCCGACCTTTTTTAGCGAAGCGGGTTGATGCGGCGTAACAGGTTAACGGGCGCCAGCTCTCCTCCAGTTGGCTGCTCCCGTTGTGATATAGTACACTGCATGTGTGAACCGCTTTACGAACCGCCTTGTGGATCTCCCTGACAGAGGCTCCCCGCATGGGTGCCCCATTTATGCCCGCTCTTTTTTTTTTTTTTTTTTTTTTGCCATTTGGTTTTGAGTACCAATTCGTCACCGCTCCGAAAGCTCGTACTGTGTTACGCATATGTAAGGGCCAAACTTGAAAAAAAAAAAAAAAAAAAAAAAAAAAGTCATACATTGCAGGGGTCATGGGTCATTATTACTTTATGGTTTGCACCCACCTGTGTGTCCCCACATTTTTAGTTCGACCATTGAAGTTCGCATAGAGCTCGCATGCATAATATTCTCCCTCTTAAGTAATTTCCCATATGGCTGAAGGTATACACGTGAGGGCCTATCGATGCGGACAACGTGTTGAGGAAATCTCACCTGAGTTGCACACGGCGCGGCTTGGACAAACGGCCCCCCTCCGCTGAAGCGGCGAAGTGGCAGAGCGGCGACACATATATTTTACGCGACGAGATGCTGCAGAGCGGCCAATACTCTCCCCTTAACACATCGCGTGTACACTCTCTACTGCTGCTTTGCCGCCCTGCTGACCGTGCCCCTTTTTTTTTTTTATACCCCCCGAAATTGATCATCATCATCGTCGTCTTCCTTCATAAAAAAGAAGAATCACAATGTCGTATGTTTTTTGCCCCGTGTACCACGTGAATATTAACCAACCCCAGAAGGAAGGTATGCCGGAGGGACGTCTCTGCTAAGCAAAGCAGCTGCTGCAGAGGATGCACTGAAAGGTGTTACATGAGAAGTACCTTAACCCCACCAATGTATTATAACCCACGACCAGTTAAAACACACACGCTTCTTTACATGTGTGTGTGTGCATTTGTCACTTTTTCCCCCCTCCGTTGCATTTGTGTCGTTTGCTCAGATTTGCTTCGGTTCGAAACATCAGCCGTCGACAGCTACAAACAGTACAAGGAAATTGAGACACGCTCGAGGAGTAAGTTTGCCCAGCGTTGTGAAAAGTCTTTTTGTTCGCGCAAGTTCGTGAATTGTGCATGAGATGAGTGTCCCCCGCTGCGTGCGCTGCCTCAACAGAGAGTGGAGTCACTTGCCTGTATAAACGAATTGCGCCCATTTCATTCCATTCCTTTTCGCTTTCCCTTTTTTTTTTTTTTTTTTTTTTTTTTCGTTGCGCAGTCCGCATCAGCCTGGTGATCAGCCTCATCTCGCTGCTGGCGTTTGTCACGTGGCAGTTCCGGGAGGACAGGACGGTAGGGATGCACACAGTTGTGTTAACATGGTACCGTTTCGCAGCAGAGTCGGTTCGCAGAACAGTCGCTTCGTTGAACCACCCTTTCCCCCCCTCTGCAGGTACTGGACACGATCAACAACATCCCCCTGATGCTTTTCGTATGTGTCTTTTTCTTCCTCATTCTAAAGCATTATTACAAGAACTTGTTCACGTCTAAGGGGTACGTAGGAGCGCTAAGTCCATGGAGAGGGTCGTCACCCTAACTTTGCTAATGATTTACTAACGTCGTTTCTCTTCTCCCCCCTCGTGCACAGCTACATAAAGAGCCTGAACAAGACGCTCAAGGGGTTTAACCTCTACCTCGACGATAGGTGAGTTTTGTGTGTGGCGCGGCGAACTGGAAGAGCATTGACGACTCTCTCGTCCCACTTATGTGTACCCTTACACCTGTGTTTTTATTTTATTTTATTTTATTATTTTTTTTTTTTTTTTTTTTTCCCCTCGTGCAGAAGCCTAAAGCTGTGCGTTATCGGCAGCTTCCCGAAGGAGTAGTGCCCCCCACCTCACAACCCATTTCACATTTACGAAGAAGCATTCCACGTTATAAGTGTAATGCGTTTTCATTTGTGAAGAGATTTCCTTCTCCCCTCCGCAAAGGGTTTTTTTTTTTTTTAATTTGTAACAGTATCATTACAATTCTTTTTTTTTTTTAAATCATTTCCATTGTAAAAAAAAAAAAAAAAAAAAAAAAAACCTTAAAATGGGGTAGCCTTTTCGTGTTGGTAGGAAAGGACAAGTGGTCTCACCTGATAACGTTGGCTGCCCCATCCGATCCGTCGTATATGTCTTGTACCGTTTGTGCATATTCTACCCACGAACCGGTCATAAGTGAACGTTCTTAATTTTTCTTATGTACTTGTGTGCGATATCTTCCCCCAGGGTGTTTACCACTCGCTCGAGGAAGTTGTATCGTTTCTTGTCCCGGAATTCCTGGAGTGTGAAGGGGGTGAAGTGATACGGTGATGTGATGTGAAGCGGCGATGTGATGTGAAGCGGCGATGTGACGTGATCAAACCACCCTGCCCCGCACGCACCTGGCGGTACTCCAGCACCAAGTCATTTATTTTTCCCATGGCTTCCTTCATCCTCTCCTTCTGTTGCTCCCGCCGGTACCACTCCTTCTTCCCCACGACCATGTTGTCGCAGAAGTGGTTCGTGCCGGTGTAGAAGTTCTTGTGCCATACCCACGGCAGGTCTGTCAAAGGGGGGTGGTGGTGGTCAAATCGAGTGAAAAGAAGCGGAACGAAGCCAAACCAATGGCGTGGGGATCGACCCTGATCTGTAAGCCCGCCCGCACGGTTCACAGCATATATCGTTGACGCACACAAAAGTGCCATTCGTTCAGGGCAGCTCCTCAGGGACCACCTCACCGCTTACCGTGCATGTAGTACTGCTTTTCTATGTCGGCCCTGTACCGTCCGGACAGTCTGCGGGGGAACAAAAAAAAAAAAAAAAAAAAAAAATATAACAAACCAACACAATAAACGAGAGCAGCATTCGCACCACTCGGTTACTCATGTTATGGTGTGCTTTGTCTCGCTCCGCTCCGCTTCCTTGTATTCCCTCATTTGGCTGCTTACACTGGGGGGTGGAAGTTGCCCAACTCATCCTTGGAGGGCAGAATCGCGAAGGGTACATCGTAGGCCTTCCTGCTTCCCCGGACGTAACACTTGAGTGGGTCGAACCCTTCAGCGTTTCTGCAGGGGGGGGGGGGGGTTGAAGGGTAATGAGATGGTGTTATTAGCGATGCTGCACGCGAGCCGCTGCTCTCCCCCGACGGGAAACGAGTGGCGATGGGTCGGGTACGTACCTGGACTCCCAATTGTCTAGTCGGTACTTCTTGTCCTTATTCAACTTCACGTATGGGTTGAAGGTCGGCTTGAACCTGATTCGGTCAAAGCAGTTGTAGCCGTAGGCCCTCCTTGGGGTGCCTGCGAGGTGGGTATACCGTGTGGGGGAAGGGCATTGGTGTGGTCACTCGGCGACTGAGAAGCCTCGCCGACTGAGCAGCGCGTTCACCCACCTGGGCATTCGTCCATGTACCGAGGCTTCTTTTTAAACTGCTCCAGGATGACGTAGCGAGACAAGTAGGGCACTTCTCGCAGCTTTCGGTCCTTCGATCGGAAAGGAAAAAAAAAAAAAAAAAAAAAAAAGTAAAATAAAATAATACAATAATTGACCAACGTAGGGGATGTATATATACATGTACACGTATGTGTCCACACCCTCCCGCGGGTGAGATTCCACACGTAAGTAGGAGACGACCCGTTCTAGCACACCCCCGCAAGGTGAATGTTACAAAGGGGCCTAACCCTCCGCGTTGTTCCTCCGTTCCTCCTCCGTTTACTTACTATGGCGGTGAAGTAGGACCTACTCTGTGCCCCCACTTGGGGGCATCTGCTTATCATTTTGCAAACGGAAAGAAGAATAAGCGCCCGTGGGTTGGGCGATCGGGGGGGGTGGGGTGTTCCCTTTTTTCTACTCCAGTTTTGAGGTGTGCGCGCGTGACGACAAGTTTGGAGTTACATATACCTCGTGGCAGCGTCACACGTTTGGAGTTACCTCGATTTGTAGCACATTTGTTCCACATTTTGTGGCACATTTGTGCCAATTTCCCACCAAGGTGTTCACCAATTTTTGGCCAAACGAGCGTGGCACATCACGCAGTTCGCCCCGGTGGGTATAAGGTCCGGAAGGAAAATAATAAAAAATTGCCTGAATAGAATCCAACCCCCTTTTTTATATGCGAGTAATTCAGGACAAAAAAAAAAAAAGAGAAAAAAAAAAAAAAAAAATCCCCCAAAGGGAACCGATACCTGGGGGACGGGGTAAATAAACCACGGGAGAGGAAAAAAAAAAAAAAAAACTCCCGCCCCCGGGGCAAGGGAACATATATGAGGAGATTTTTTGTAAGCAGCAATTGTGGCAACATTAAAAAAGGTAGAGCACGCGATGGAAAAAAAAAAAAAAAAAAAAAAATTCCGCAGAGTACACTCCATCAGGAAGGTATCACAAAGGCATCTCCATAATACATCACATCACATCCCGATTTGCATCACTAACGTATTCCGTTATGCGGTATAAGTGAACGCTTGGGCGATCTACGTGATGATTTTAAAAAACGCATGAGCTCGCTGCCCTCTGATGAAGGCAAACTCACCGACTGATCGATGTTTCCAAACATTTGGAACAGTTACATATGTATATATATATATTTTTTTTTTCTGTATTTCATTGTATGAATGTTAAAAACGTACTTTTTCTTCCCTGGCACAACGTACCATGAGAAGGTAGCCCCCAAAGCATGTCGTATTGTGGGTGACTTTTTTTTGGGTTGGCGTTGACTACTTTTTTAATCTGCTATTTATTCTTTTTTCCTACTTTTCTGTTTTTTCCTGCTTCCTCTTTTTGTTACTACATCCCCTTTTTTTTTCTTCTCTTTTTTTTTTTTTTTTTT